AACCTTCTTCTTGTGCTTTCTGATCCACCTTGTTGTCCACCGCAACCTCCTCCTTCTGCCTCCTTCTCCATCTCCATCTCCATCTCAACCTTCTTCTTGTGCTTTCTCCTCCTCCTGCTCCTCCTTTCTCCTCCATCTCCATCTTAACCTTCTTCTTGTGCTTTCTGATCCACCTTGTTGTCCACCGCAACTCCTCCTTCTGCCTTCTTCTCCATCTCCATCTCCATCTCCACCTTCTTCTTGTGCTTTCTCCTCCTCCTGCTCCTCCTTTCTCCTCCATCTCCATCTCAACCTTCTTCTTGTGCTTTCTCCTCCTCCTGCTCCTCCTTTCTCCTCCATCTCCATCTTAACCTTCTTCTTGTGCTTTCTGATCCACCTTGTTGTCCACCGCAACCTCCTCCTTCTGCCTCCTTCTCCATCTCCATCTCCATCTCAACCTTCTTCTTGTGCTTTCTCCTCCTCCTGCTCCTCCTTTCTCCTCCATCTCCATCTCAACCTTCTTCTTGTGCTTTCTCCTCCTCCTTGTTGTCCACTTCAACCTCCTTCTTCTGCCTTCTCCTTCTCCTTCCCTTTTTCCTCCATCTCAACCTCAACTTCCTTCATGTGCTTCCTCCTCCTCCTCCTCCTCCTCCTCCTCCTCCTCCTCCTCCTCCATTTCAACCTCAACCTTCTTTCTTCTCTTCCTTCTCTTTCTCCTCTTCCTCCTCCTCCTCTGCCTCTATCTCAACCTCAACCTCCTTGTGCTTCCTCCTCCCCCTCTTCCCTGGAAGGAGGCATACTAAAGCATTGTTTGTTCATTTGACCTTTAGTGTTTTGTTCAAATTATTTACCTCAGGGGTCAGTGAACTGTTCAGGTATTTCCTCAATTAAACAATGGCAAAAGCTTTCAAATGCTCCCACACACCCGCAACATCTCAGAGCTTCACCAGGCTGCACGACATTTTGACCTCCTTTTAAAATCTTGCACGATCTTTGCATTTATTATTATTATTTTTTGCACCCACCTCTTTTGAGCATCCAGAGAAATATATCAGAATCTTGTAAGATTAGTTCTTCTGGCATATTTTCACCCATTTATTTAAACTCCGCATTTATTGTTATCAAATACAACCCAACCTTTTATTACAGTCATTAACCAGCCGAGAGCAAATATAATTGCGGGCCTAAGAGGAAAAGAAAAGCGGTAAAACAATTGAAAGCGTCTAAGCATAAGACCTTCATCTTCATTAAAAAGAAAATTTGATAGGACTGCATATGCGGAAGATCTCCTAGAGGCCCACAGAGGCTGTTGCGGGCAGCATGGAAAGTTAGTTACAGGGATGGTAATTGCTAATTTATTTAAATTCAAAGTCCCTGATTGATTTTCTCAAGGCTTCTTCTCTTCCTTGTTCTTCTCCCAGGTCAATATCTTAGCGGTCAGCATTTGCACGCGAGAGACTTACCAATCCATGAAGGAAAGAAACATTAACGATGGACACATCATCAACATTAACAGGTGGGGAAGTTGCACAAATGAACATTTATCATCTATCTATCTATCTATCTATCTATGTATCTCTCTCTCTCTCTCTTATCTATCTATCTATCTATCTATCTATCTATCTATCTATCTATCTATCTCTACCTTCTCTCTCTCTCTCTCTCTTGTCTGTCTGTCTATCTATCTATCTATCTATCTATCTATCTATCTATCTATCTATCTATCTATATCTATCTCTATATCTCTATCTCCTGTCTGTCTGTCTGTCTATCTATCTATCTATCTATCTATCTATCTATCTATCTATCTATCTATCCATCCATCCATCCATCCATCCATCCATCCATCCATCCATCCATCCATCCATCCATCCATCCACTCGCTTATTTATTTAACTTATTTATTTATTTTCTGCCTTTATTGTTTTGATAAATAGCTCAAAGAGGCTAACTCCTCCTATTTTCCGCACAACAACCCTGCAAGGACGGTTGGGCTGAGAGAGAAACAGTAACAGGTCCAAAGTCACCCAGCTGGCTTTCATGCCTAAGGTGGGACTAGAACTCTCAGTCTGCTAGTGATTGGTCCAAAGTCACCCAGCTGGCTTTCAGGCCTAAGATGAGAATAGAACTCACGGTGTCTGTCTGTTTGTCTGTCTGTCTGTCTGTCTGTGCATCTATCTATTTATCTGTGTATATACATGCAGTGTGAGTGAGTGTGTGTGTGTGTGTGTGTGTGTGTATTTCACTTAATAATTGCAGTGATTCGGCAAAAAAGGTCGTAAACTGGGGCACCACTTATCAACTGCCTCGCTTAGCAACATAAAAGGTCGGCTCAACTGTGGTTGAGGACTACCGACACTGAATATTTTCCCCTTCTTTTGCCTTTCATTCCTCCTCCTGTGTGTCGTGTCCAGCATGAGTGGTCACAGGGTGGTCCCAGAGTCAGTCGAACACTTTTACAGCGCCACAAAGTATGCTGTCACGGCTTTAACCGAAGGGCTTCGGCAGGAACTAAGAGAAGCAAAGACACATATACGAGCCACGGTGAGTAACTCTGATTGGACACTCTGGCTTGTCTGAAGCCCAGGGTTCAATTCCCTGCATCTTTGCCAAGCTCTGTGAGTCAGAAAAGATTTCTCTTTTCCAAAAGGGACCAGATCAGAATATCCTCATCATCGGACCAGGTTTATGGACATTTATGGTGCTAGTCCTCTTTGTTTGCACCCAATGCATACAGCATCGTTGGCATCTTTCTGGTCAGGCTGTGTTCAGAGACAGTCTATAGTAGTGTTTCTCAACCGTGGCCACTTTAAGGGGGGTGGACTTCAACTCCCAGAATTCCCCAGCCAGCATTCTGGGAGTTGAAGTCCACCCCTCTTAAAGTGGTCATGGTTGAGAAATGCTGGTCTAGAATTTCAATCACTCCCAGTCAGTGATTTTATTTATATTCACTCCCAGTCCCCTATTTTATTTATAACTCTATTTATTCCATTTATTTATACATGGTTCCATGAATGTTTGGACATCAGCTCCAAAATGGGCTAGAGATTAAAGGCATGGCCAGATGATTTATGTGAAAGTGATTAAGATGTAGAATAGAATAGAATAGAATAGAATAGAATAGAATAGAATAGAATAGAATAGAATAGAATAGAATAGGAATTAGAATAGAATAGAAATTAGAATAGAATAGAATAGAAATTAGAATAGAATATAAATTAGAATAGAATATAAATTAGAATAGAAATTAAGAATAGAAATTAGAATAGAAATTAGAATAGAAATTAGAATAGAATAGAAATTAGAATAGAATAGAGATTAGAATAGAATAGAAATTAGAATAGAATAGAAATTAGAATAGAAATTAGAATAGAAATTAGAATAGAAATTAGAATAAAATAGAATAGAACAGAACAGAATAGAACAGAACAGAATAACTGAGTTGGAAGGGACCTTGGAGGTCTTCTAGTCCAACCCCATGCTAAGGCAGGAAACCCTGTATTTATTTTTAACATCTGATTGGAGTTAACTTAGATTTCTACGGCGATCCTCAGTCATCCAGGTCATTGGGGTTTTTTTTTCCTGTGAAAACGTTCAGCTTCTCATATAACAAACTTCTTGGATGAGAAGTGAAACGTTTTCAGGGAAAAACCCAAGGAAGTCCAGTTGCCTTTTGGAAAAGCATCTTTGGGATTTACTTTTGATCTTTTATACATTCTTATAAATGTACACATATATATGTACAATAAGATGCTGTTTTTCTTTTTTCCTGTTTTATTCTGGGTTTTTTTTTTTTTCCTTAGTGTATTTCACCAGGTTTGGTCGAGACCGGATTCGCTTTTAAACTGCACGATAATGATCCGGAAAGAGCTGCGGCCACATATGAGAGTATTAGGGTAAGAAAAAAAATCCCAAAGAGCTATAGAGGGGTAATTTTGGTTAACAGAAATGTAAGATTGTTTGTATTTTGGGTTTAAGGATAGGCACTTTCAACTTCTGGGCAGGGCACCCCAAAATTGGATGGGTACTGGCGATGGCAGGAAAAAAATACCCCTACAATTCAATCTAAACTTATACAAATTTCATTGGGTTGATATAATGATAGGTAGTCCTTTTTTAAGTGACTGTAATGGCACTGATGTTATCAGTTATTATGGCTGGTCCTCACACTTACGATGGCCACTGTTGGGCTCCGAGTTCACCCAGAGCCCGTCAGCTCCGAATATGCCTCGCAGCCAGTCAGCTGGCCATGTCACCTTATCTCTGCGGCTGCCGGATCTGTATTTCTGCATTTCTGCGTGTGTGCTGGCTGATGGCTTTGGAATGACTCAGCAGAGCTGAGGATGGATTCTGCAACAACTCTGGGGCTGCTGGAACTGGCTCTTTTCATGGATTGATGTGGTCCATATTGTTAAAGGGGGTTGGGGCATATATAGGTGGTAATTAAGACTTAGGTTAAAACATGGTGAAGGTGGCACCAGGCGGGGATCAGTTAGTGAGGGTCGGAATAGGGTAGGGATGTAGCCATGTTATAGGGTTAATAGCATGTAGGGATAATGGGTTAGGCGTGGCCAGGATTAGAACTGCGTATAGGCCTCGGTGTGGTGGGGTTTGTCTCATGATAATGGTGATAAAAGGAAAGGGAGCAAATTCAAATCCAACTCTAACCTTGTCTGGCTTTTAGCTATTCTTCCCTGATTAGAGTATTTGTTGTTTGATGATATATTGAATAAACCATCATTGTCCCAAAGAGGATCTGGAGTTTGGATTCATTTAAAGACAAATTTTCAATACCATCTCTACGGCCATGCAATCAAAATTAGGACGCTTTTGGCAACTGGCATGTATTTATAAAGGGTGCAGCATTCCTGGGATCACTTGATCAACATTATAGATCCTCCCAGCCGGCTTCCGACAAGCAAAGTCAATGGAGGAAGCAGGATTTGCATAATGACTGCATGATTCACTTAAAAACTGCAGAGAATTGGCAAAAAAAAGGTTGTAAAACCGGACATGACTCAAATTAACAACTGCCTCGCATAGGAACAGAAATTCTGCTCCTAATTGCGGTCGTAAGTTGAAACTACCTGTCCTGCAAAGGTTGTTGATAATTTCCCCCTTGAGACGTTTTAAGTTTTCATTTGATAGTAATTTTTGACATTTGGGGCTGGCATCTGGTCTTAGGAGAAGCCTCTCTGTGAAATGGTAATGTATTTGTTCTAGCCAAAGGCAAGTTTCTCAGATACAGGTAGTCCTCAACTTATTTTAGTTTAGTTTAGTTTACTTTATTTTATTGACATTGCACCTCGTACAATGAAATTAAATACCATCTTCAGTGTATATTATGACTATGAAAATAAAGACACACATACTTCACATTCTATACATTGAATTGAAAACCCTTGATACTGCATTATAACCAGGGGTGGGCTGCTGGGGGCTTGCAGAGGCTCAGGAGAGCCTCTAGCTAAGACTTTGTGGGGCTCCGAGAGCCCCCAATAACTTCAGAAAGACAAGCAGCAAGGGAAAGCTCTTAATAGGCTTAATTGAACTTCTGGGCATTCAGCCAAGAGCATTTCACACCTCATAAAAGTGTTGCAAGCTAGATAAACAATCCACTCAGTGCTTACCAGGGAGAGCCTTTGAGAAAATTAGATAACATCGCCACTAGCCTCCAAGGGGATTAATTCCCAAATAATAAGAATCACGTTGTCAACTCATAAAATATTTCTATGGTCTTTTTAGAGTTGCCAACAGAAAGGAGAGGGAAGCAGAACCAAAACTACATTCCATAAATGCAAAACCAAAACTGCATTCCATAAATGTTTTCAAAGATAATAACTAGGTGACTGAAGTTTCTGCCTTGCAAAATTCTAACTGGAGAGCATGATTGATGACTCTGGGCTACGGATGTGTCCCATTGGAGAATATGAATTATGATACACCCAGGGGGTGGGGGAGAACCAGGGTCAAGGGTGACAATGAATGATGTGCCTCAGAGTCAGCTGCACCCAGGAAGTGCTGGACTGTTTAACTCCCAATAAATCCTTTTGAAGTTTTGGAAGTTTGGCTAGAGACTCATGATTTAAATGCGGGGTAACTGCCAGAATCCTGATACACATAACTCACCAGAAACTCCACTAAGACTCTAAGATCCCTCTCACAGTCATTGCTATTAAGCCTGGTTTCACCCAGTCTTTTATTTAAGTTTTAAATGCATGAAATAATAAACAACTTTTTGGTGTATATCTTTTTGTTTTTAGGTAATTAGGGCAAAGAAGCGATGTCGAGTTGGCCACACCCAGCCAGTCACATGACCACCCAGCCACACCCACCTAGCCAGTCATTAGGGCAGAGAGCCCCCTTGCTAAAAAAATTGGAGCCCACCCCTGCTTATAACCATTTGTTTAGTGACTGTTCAAAGTTAGATCAGTGCTGAAAAAAGTGACATCACCTTTTTTCACAGTTACAACTGTTGTAGCATCCCAATGGTCAGGTGATCCAAATTTGGACGTTTGGCAACTGGCTCATAGTTATGACCGTTGCAGTCACGTGATCACCTTTGCGACCTTTTGACAAACAAGTCAATGGGGAAGCCAGATTCACTTAACTGTGTTGCTGTTCCGACCCAAACCCTTTTCCAATAAAACAAACAATAACCAAACCTTTTAATGAGTCTTACGAATCCCTGGTTAAAAGGCTGCTGCAAACTAATTAACTTTGATAAGCACAAACCTCGCCAAAACTGTGCCAAGAATAACAGATAAGAAATGTTTCACAACACAAGAGTCTTCAAATACCAACTTAAGATACTGCAATGTCCACGAGGCTGGAGTTTCAAAATGTCTTTGCTTCCTGCAAAGAACGTCCGATTCACAGCTGGCTTTTATCTTCTTGAAGGAGGGCATTACCTTGCACCCTCACTCCTGAGTTGCCCATGCTGCTGTAGCTGCTCTTTCCTACGAGCAGCCCTGCGCACACACGCACTTGACACAGGCTCCTTGGGAACCTCCTCATCGCTGCTGCCAGCCTCCACAATCTCTGAAGGCAGCAGTCCACTCCCTAATGGTCCTGGCCCCTCATCTGAATCCTTGCTCTCCTCAGCCGTCCGCACCTGCTGCTGGCTAATCACAACAGTTGCTGACTTAACATCCACAGTGATTCACTTAACAACTAGGGCAAGAAAGGTTGCACAATGGGGCAAAATTAACTTAACAACTGTCTTGCTGAGCACAGGAAATTTGGGGTGGTTGCAAGTTGAGGACTACCTGTAATTACCTACAAATTAGCTGCCCTTGTAACTTCACCGATAAGAATGAAAGATGGAATTGAAGACAAGAGAATTAGCAAGAGATAGAAATGGCTGCAGAGAAGGCTGGCTTTTTGAACTTCTTTTTTTGTAAAGTCTAAGCATGCTGGCTGAGGAATTGTGGGATTTGAAGTCCACAAGTTTTAAAGTTGTCAAGGTTGAGAAATACATTGCTCCATAGCCCAGGTTAGAGGATCGACCAGTTTGAAGACCTCAAGGGAAGGAGAAGACGCCATTTCATAAGGCATCCTGGTTGACCACTTGTAGACTCAGGACATTCTTCCAAAGATTTAGCTTGAATTGGCTTCTTTATTTTAACCTTTTGGATTCATTCCTGCCCTGGGGAGGGTAGGGGAGGAGGTAACAGTGCTTAAGACCCTTCCTTCTTTTGTTTGAAAGAAATGCTAGTATTTCTCCCTTACTTATTTTTTTTCTCTGGCTAATCATATCCAAATTGTTTAGCGGTCCTTTCCCACCATATTGGTAGACTTGAATTTGCCACTGTCCCTTTGGAATGATGATGCTTCAAACTGGATATAGGTTTCCAAGTGCAGCCCGTCTGTCTTCTTCCTTCCCTTTCCCTTTTCTTTCTTCTCTATTCCTGCTCTTCTTCCTTTTCCATTCCTTTCCCTTGTTCTTCCTTCGTGATCCCTTCTCCTTCCTCTTTCCCTTCCTTCTTTCCATCCCTTCTCACTTTTTCTCCTCCCTCTTCCTATTTTTCCCTTCCTTTTCCTCCTCTTTCTCCTCCTCTTTCTCCTCCTTTTCTTCTCCTTCTCCTTCTCCCTCCTCCTGTTCTTCTCCTTCTCCTCCTCCTCCTTCCGTCTCCTCTTTTTGTGCTTTCTTTTTGCTCTTTCTTTTTCTCTTTCTTTTTTCCTTCTTTCTATCTTCTTTCTTTCTTTTCCTTTTTTTCCTTCCTTCCTTCTTCTTTCTTTCTCCCCCTCCTCTTTTTGCTCTTTCATTTTGATTTCTATTTCTTCTTTCTTTCTTTCTTTCTTTCTTTCTTTCTTTCTTTCTTTCTTTCTTTCTTTCTTTCTTTCTTTCTTTCTTTCTTTCTTTCTCTCTCTCTCTCTCTCTCTCTCTCTCTCTCTTTCCTTCCTTCCTTCCTTCCTTCCTTCCTTCCTTCCTTCCTTCCTTCCTTCCTTCTTTCCTTCCTTTCTCCTCCTCCTCCTTCCCCCCTCCTTCTTCCACTTTTTCCTACCTTCTTTTTCTCCTCCTTCAAATAAAGGAGAATATTGGTAGCTCAGGATTGAAACATGGGGTCTCCTTGGTGCTCTCTGAGCTTGGTTGTTTTCTTGCAGTCATTTCATAACCCGACTAGGTAATACCATCAATCAGTGGATCCTTTGTCTCTTTCTTTTCTACTCTCCCCCTCTCCCCTCCTCTTTCCCCTTCCCCATTCCTTCTCCTCCCTTCTCTTCCCCCTCCTCTTTGTTATCCTTTTGGCTGTTTCTGGTTAGAAGGAGGGCATCATTGCACATACTCATTTTGTTTCTGTGGGAGAGAACAGTTGTATTTGAGAGAGATTATTGGCATATGTAGTAGATACGAGATTGATTTTATAAATGGGTTAGCCAAGACTTAACTTCAAGGTAATCTGCCAAGAAATCCATAATCTGAGTAGACCTTTGCACTTCCTGCCTGTTCCTTCCTTTTCAGCAACTTAGCAAGAACACCCTCTTCACTCATCAGTAATTTCAGGGAAAAACCAAAACCCTTTAGTTTTACTGTCAGTAAATTGGATACATGCAAAAGGGGAAATCAATTAATTTTGCAACCAATTTTATAGTCCTTTAGTTAGAAGTCATTCATTCAATTAATATAAATTTAGGATTTTGTCTTATCCTTTTTTGGTAACTGGCTTCTGGCTGATATTGTATACGCAGATACATACATGTCTTTGTTTCACACGTGTAAGTGTACCACACACTTGGGGTTGTGTTTGTTTACTTCATTTCTGTTCTACCTAGGATAATACCTTGGCAGGATAGAGTCAAGTTATTACACAATAGATTTACAAATAAAATACACCCTCAATCCACTTTAAAATAACTAAATGCAGGAAACCATTAAAAGAAATCAGCAAATATTATTTTCAGAAAGTTAAAGAAAAACCTTTGGAAAAATATAGTTTTAATGCCTTTGATAACGTTGAGTGGATTGCAAAGCTATTCTGCCTTGGAATGAATGCTGAGCCTTATTACTAACTTGGAAGCTTTGGCTAAACTACAGAGATCTTTCAACTATTTTGGCAAACAGACATGAATCAGGAGTAGTGTGGGGTTAGAATTGGGGGTCTTTCTAGACTTCTTGACTCCACCTTACCTCTAGCCCTGGATAGAAAGCTGATTGTGCTTCCACATTTCCTCAACTCTGGGGCATAGTTAGGTAATTTTGGACTCTGAACTGTGAGGTCATGCTAGTAGAGTGAGAGGGAAGGTTGATGGCACAGTGCAATGTTCCAAAAGCTTGGTGATTTAAAACTATGTGGACTTTGACTCCCAGAATCCCCCAGCCAGTGTGCTTAAAGTTGAGTGAACTATTAACTCCCAGAATCCACCTGCCAGGGTGTTTGAAGATGTGTGGGCTTCAATTCCCAGAACCCCCCAGCCAGTGTGGTTAAAGTTGCATTAACTTTCACTCCCAGAATCCCCCAGCCTTCAAGTTTATGGAGATCCTCAGTCCTCCAGGTCATGGTTATCCCATAGGTGCTTTTTTCAGGAGGCAACTGGACTTTTTTTTTCTTTGAAGACATCTCACTTCTTATCCAAGAAGCTTCTTCAGTTCTGACTGGGTGGTGGGGAATGGAAGGATTTATACCTCTTGCAGACAGCTGGTCATTTGCATCCTTTTAGAGAGTCCTTGAGGCCACTTGGAAGTTTATCTGTGTCCTGGGGGGAGGGGGGGGCAACTGAGTAGGGCAAATAGTTCCTGTAGTCTGCATTTTTCCCCCTGGAAATCCATTTATTCCCACACCTTCCATTCCTCACCATCCAGTCAGAGCTGAAGAAGCTTCTTGGAAGAGAAGTGAAATGTCTTAAAAGAAAAAACAGGAAAAGTCCAGTTGCCTCCTGAAAAAGCACTCTGTGGGACTCCAGCCTTGTCTAGTGAAGAGAAGGACCAGGGGAGACATGAGAGCAGTCTTCCAATATTTGAGAGGCTGCCACAGAGAGGAAGGGGTCAAGCTATTCTCCAAAGCACCCAAAGGCCAGACAAGGAACAATGAATGGAAAGTGATCAAGGAGAGATCCAACCTGGAAATAAGGAGAAACTTTCTGACAGTGAGAACAATCAACCCATGGAACAGAAGTTGCCCTCGGAAGTTGTGAGGGCGCCATCACTTGAGACCTTCAAGAAGCCTGCGTGCTTTAAAAGATATGGGTATCAATTCCCAGAATCCCCCAGTTGGTGTGCTTGAAGTTGTGTGAACTTCAACTCTCAGAACCTCCCCCCAGCCAGCATCCTTGAAGATGTGGACTTCAGTTCCCAGAATCTCCCAACCAGTGCACTTGAAGCCATGTGGACTTCAACTCCCAGAATCCTGCTGGCTGAGGAATTCTGAGTGTTGAAGTCCTCACATCTTAAAGTTGCTAGTCTTGGAAAAAGATGGTAGCTAATGACACCAGTGTTTGAATCCTCTGCGTATCAGAAAGAGGAAGTTTCTGGCCTGATTTTTATCAATTTTCTAAGTAACATTGAGGCCAGGGAATTGCTCTAGCTCTGTAGGACTGCTTGGACCCATCCACAAGCAGGAGCGTTCGAGAAGTCCCTGATAGACAAGCTAGAAATTAGTGTCAAACTTTCAGAAATGCAATGACTTCTGAAATCTCAGCTTGGCCATAGAGAAGGGGAGGATGGTGGAGAAGGGCTGGCTGGGGCAGGGGTGTCAAACTGTGGGATGTGTCAACTCATAAAATATTTCTGTGGTCTTTTTAGAGTTGCCAACAGAAAGGGAGGGGGGGGGAAAGGGGTTTGGAAAGAGCAGTGCAGCAGCTTGGAAATCGAAAGTGCATTCCATAAATGTTTTCAAAGATAGTAACTAGGCGACTGAAGTTTCTGCTACACAAAATTCTAACTGGAGAGCATGACTTGATGATTCTTGGCTATGGATGTGTCCCATTGGAAAATATGAATTACGATACACCCAGGGGGTGGAGGGAAAACCACATCAATGAATGATGTGTCTCAGAGTTGGCTACACCCAGGCAGTGCCGGACAGTATAACTTCCAATAAATCCTTTTGAAGTTTTGAAAGTTTGGCTCGAAACTCATTATTTAATTGGGGGTCACTCCCGGTATCCTAACACATGCATGGCGCGTGTGGCCGCTGTGGGAACAGCAAAGGACTGGTGCCTGTGCCAGCGGAAATGGAGCTTGTAAGAGCAGTGATGGCCTCCCGAAACCCTCTATCAGTGAATATGGAGCTCCATTTTTGCTGGCGGAGGGCTAGCAAAACAAACTGTAAACAAAAGAAAAAGAGAAATGTTCCCCTCACTTTGTATTTGAGCATGCAAGAAGGGACAGGAAAGGAGAAAGGGAAAGAAGAAAGAAAAAAAAAGAAGGGAAGATGGGAAGCGAGCGAGGAAGGAAAAAGAAGGAAATAGAATAGAGTAGAATAGAAATAGGAATAGAATAGAATAGAATAGAAATAGCATGGAATGGAATGGAATGGAATGGAATGGAATGGAGTAGAGTAGAGTAGAGTAGAGTAGAGTAGAGTAGAGTAGAGTAGAGTAGAGTAGAGTAGAGTAGAGTAGAGTAGAGTAGAATTCTTTATTGGCCAAGTGTGATTGACACACGAGGAATTTGTCTTGGTGCAAATGTTCTCAGTGTACATAAAGAAAAAATAAAATACATTCATCAAGAATCATAAGATACAACACTTAGTGATAGTCATAGGTTACTAATAAGCAATCAAATCATACTAGGAAACAATAAAAACAATACAAGTTGTAAAGATACAAACAACATGGATATAGCCATAAGTGGGAAGAGAGAGATACTTGTAAGTAAGGAAAGAGAAGAAGGAAGAAGTAAGGAGAATGAAGAGGGAAGGAAAAAGAAGGGAAGGAAGGGAGGGAGGGTCTGAAAGAAGCTCTGCCTTAGCACTTGGTCACCACAGGTACCCCTGACACAAGAGATGTTGAGCTGGCCACGCCCATCTCCCATCCCCCTCCCCATCAAGCACAACCCTGATGCAACCCTCAATGAAATCGAGTTTGACTCCTCTGGGCTGGGGCAACCTTTCCAAAACCATCTGGAAGTTGCTTCCTATTTCATGATCCATTACGCATAAATCCATACTCCCACCCTGAAGTTTTTAAGAAGAGGCTGGACAACCCTTTGTCTGAAGTGGTTACAGGGGGTCCTGCCTGAGCAAGGGGGTTGGACTAGAAGACCTCCTAGGTCCCTTCCAATTCTGATATTCCATTAATCTTTTCTGCATTCTGTTTCTGACTCTTTCCTAGTGTCTAAAAGCTGAAGATATGGCCAACGCTGTAATATATGTTCTCAGCACTCCACCTCATGTACAGGTAGGACTTTCTGACTATTTTTTTTTTTTTGTAAATGGGTGGGGTGGGGGGAAATTATTTCTATGATGGTCCCTGGGGGAGGAAATGGCATCCCCCACACATCCCCACAAGTGCTGTGCTGCAAAAATTATTCTGACTTTATGGAATCATTAACGCAAGGATGCTATGATGTCACTAGTGCAATGACATCATCCTGGGCATAATGTTGGCGTGCTTCTATCAGGTTCCTATCATTACAGGCAGTCCTTGACTTACAACCATTTGTGTTCTGACCAAGGCTTTCGAGAGCGTAATTACACACGAACAATCCCTCGAGATAAGCACCCCAACTTTCTTTCCTGTGAAGTGCTGCCAATAACAGAAGTATTCAATGAACTAGAAACAAAACCAACGGAAGTACAAAGAGCTTCAAAAATGAATCTGAACCGAACGAACAACTTTGCTTCCTGCAAAGGTTTCTTCACCTTTGCCTGTCCTTTATACCTTACGGGAGGGGCAATCACCTCCCAGCCTTACTTCCGAATCGCCCCTTTTGTTTCAGCTGCTCTCGCCTTCCAGCAGCTCTGCACACACGCGCACTGGGAACAGGCTCCCCTAGTTCCTCTGCCTCGCTGCTGCCAGACTCCAGAGGCTCCGGAGTCAGTACCCCACTCCCAGATGGTCCTGGCCCCATCTCCGCATCATCCAAGTCCTCTCCAAACTCCCAGACTGATCCCTGTTCTTCCCCACTGTCCGATTCCATTGCCGTCGGCACAGGCTGCCGGCAAATCACAACAATTTGTTTTGGGACCATTCGAAGTTAGAACACCAGTGAAAAAAAGGCGATGCGTGACTGTTTTTCACACTTACGACCATTGCAGCATCTGCATGATCAAAATTAGGACGCTGGGCCACTGACTCATATTTATGACGGTTGCACTGTCCTGGGGGGGGTCATATGATCCCCTTTTGTGACATTCTGACCCACAAAACCAATGGGGAAGCCAGATTCACTGAACAGCTGTGTTAGTAAATTAACAACTGCAGCGATTCACTTAACAAACGTGGCAAGAAAAGTTGTAAAATGGGGAAAAAACTTCCTTAATTGCTTTGCCTAGCAACAGACATTTTGGGCTCAATTATAGTTGTAAGTTGAGGCTATCCCGTATTTCCCCCGTTGCTGTTATCCTCCTTATTAATTTACATTTCTAAGCCACCGCTTTAAATTTGCCTTTTTTTAGATTCACTGACTAGCTAGAGCAGGGTGTCAGCGTTCCAGCAAACCTCCAATCCGCCCAATAACTCCAAGACAGGCATCTTCTCAAAAGGTCCTTTTATTTGGATAGTAACTGGCACAACTGGGGAATCCCGAATCTGAAAGTTCCTGTTCTGACCCATGTCCTCTCCCGACAAATCAAACCCACAAATTCAAAAGGAACAAAAACCTTGTTAATGCTTTTACAAAATAATTAGCTGTGATACGCACAAGCCTTGCCAAACTGTGCAAGACTTGCCAAAAGATAACAGAAAAAGAAATAATTTACAATACAAACTCAAGATACTGTAATGTCCACGAGGCTGCAGTTTCAAAAGGTTTGTTTCACAGCTGGCTTTTATCTTCTTGAGCCATTACCTTGCAGCCTTACTCCCGAGTCGCCCGTGCTGTTGTAACTGCTCAATTGTGGCAGCATGGGATCTCAATATGGCTTCCAAAGCTGACACAGAGGTCCCAAAACTGTGGGCCGCAGTCCACTAACAGGCGGCACCCTATTTGCAACTGGGCCGCGTGAGAGACCTGCTGGTGTGTGTGCACGTGCGTGCAATTTTCACACTTTCGATCATTGCAGCATTCCCCATGATCACGTGATTTACATCGGGATGCTTGACAATGGACTCATGTTTACGACGGTTGCTGTGTCTTGGAATCACCCGACCGCCCCCTTTGGCGATCTTCTGACAAAGTCGATGGGGAAACTGGATTCGCTGAACAACCATGGGGCTAATTTAAGAATTGCAGTGATTCGTTTAACGAAGGCGGCGGAAGAAGTCGTAAACATGGGGTAGAACTCACTTGTAACAAATTTCCCACGCAGCCATGTCAATTTGGGGGTCCGTTGTGGTCGTAAGCAGGGGTGGGATTCAAAAATCCCAACAACCAGTTCTCTGCCCGGTTACTGGGTGGGTGTGGCCTATCGGAACTTCCTAGAGGACCGTTTTTTCCCTTCCCCAGAGTCTGGAGGCTTCCCTCGGGCTTCTGGGAGGGCGAAAATGGCCTCTCCCGGGCTCCAGAGGCCCTCTGGAAGTGGGAAACAGGCCCATTTCTGGACTTCTGGAACTTCTGGGAGGCCCGATTTCTCCCTTCCCAGAGCCTCCGTGTGGACCCTGCACTGCATCCAAAACGGGCCATGTGGAGACCCCTGAGAGGGGAGGGGAGGGCAAGGCCAGCCGGTCGGTTCAACTATCGGTTCGGCGAATCAGATGTAAATTTAACATCCGGTTCGGTTGAACCAGTCCAAACCGGCTGAATCCCACCCCTGGTCTTAAGTTGAGGACAACCCTCAACTTAATCCTAATCCTACGTAGCTTTTAACCTAATCCTACGTAGCTTTTTCTCTGGTAATATCACACTACTAACCAGAGCATACAAAACATTTGCTAGACCAATACTCGAATACAGTTCATCAGTCTGGAACCCACATTACGTATCTGATATTAGCACAATTGAGAAAGTCCAGAAATATTTCACAAGAAGAGTTCTCCACTCCTCTACTCGTTGCAGAATACCTTAGGCCACCAGACTTGAAATTCTAGACCTAGAAAACCTACAGCTACGCCGCCTTCGGTCCGATCTAAGTATGGTATATAAAATCATACATTGCAATGTCCTACCTGTCAATGAATACTTCAGCTTCAACCATAACAACACAAGAGCGCACAATAGATACAAACTCAAGGTAAACCGCACCAAACTTGATTGCAGGAAATACGACTTCAGCAACAGAGTGGTCAATGTCTGGAATGCTCTACCCGACTCTGTGGTTTCTTCCCCAAACCCCAAAAACTTTAACCTTAGACTGTCTACTATTGACCTCACCCCTTTCCTAAGAGGTCTGTAGGGGGCGTGCATAAGCGCACCAACGTGCCTACTGTCCCTGTCCTATTGTTTCTCTTATTCTTCTTTTATTTTTCTTATATGTACCCATTTCATGTATTCACAACTATGTATACACTTATACTTATTATCTTGTAAACAATTGGCAAATCAAATAAATAAATAAATAAATAAAATAAATAAACAACCCGCATTCTGCTCCATTTCACCTGGTGTCGGTGACCAAACTCTCTTTGTGTCTTCCAGATCGGCGATATTCAGATGAGACCCACCGAACAAATGTCATAGCTGAGGAAGGAGAGGATGGCACAGCCTTTCTCAAAACAGGGTTTTCTTCAGATGATCCAGTGACTTTCTAAGGGCCTCCTAGCGGAAGGCCCTGACCCACAGCCCCTTTGGCCATCTCGCTCTCCTCAGCTGAGCTGACCTCAGTGGAAACTGACAGGAACAAAAATCCAGTCCTCGCCATAATTCCTCCACTCATCCTTGGTTCTGTCCACCATGGTTAATTTGTAAGCCACCATTCCCAGTGCACCACGTCCATGTCACCGGATTCTGATTTTTTTGGGAGAAAGGGACCAACAGCGGATCCAGATGGCGAACGTTTCATGAGCCGATTCCTTCAGCTTCCCTTTGTGACTTGCAACCAATGTACGGTTTCCTGGAAATGCATTGAAACCGAAACGCTACCTGTTTTTTTTCTTCCTAGGTCTGTGATGGTGAACCAGATGGTGCACGCAGGGCCATCTCTCTCCGGGCACGCCAGCTATTGTGACGTCGCCCATGGCTCTTCCAGGTTCCAGCACTTGCTGGTCAGCTGGTCTTTGCGCACGCATGCACGCTGGCCAGCTGGTCTTTGCGCGCGTGGGAGTGCCGGAAACTAGAAGAGCATCTCCCAGTGAGCAGCATGCACACCAGACACCTGGTCTTCCAGGTTTTTAAGGTGCATGTGTGTACGAAGACTAGCTGGCCAGCGCGCATGCGTGTTAAAAGCTGCCCGGCCAGCTGGTTTTCCGGCTTCTAACGTGCACACATACACGTTAGAAGCCGGAAGACCAGGTGGCCGGTGCCAAAAAGATCAACCACCACTGTCCTAGGTGGTCGTACCCCAAAACGTTAAAACAGAATATTTTCCCTCTTCTGGGCACTGAGGAGTGGCCTTCAGACCCATTAAAGGAGAATGAAACGAAATCCAGCTAGCTTAGAAGCGATTTCCATTCACTTAGAGCAGAGGTGGGCTGGGATCGCGGGTTCAAATCTTCACAGCTTTTTGGTTGATCGACAGGCAGTCCTCGACTCACAACAGTTCATTTAGTGACCAAAGTTACCACGGCACTGGAAAATGCGACTTGTGACCGTTTTTTAAACAGTTATGACCGTTGGAGTATCCTCCTGGTTGTGGGATCGAAAGTCAGATGCTTGGCCATTGACTCACATTTATGACGGTTGCAGTGTCCCAAGGTCATGTGATCGATTCCCTTTTGCGACCTGACAAGCGAAGTTAACGGGGGAAGCCCAATTCACTTAACAACCGGGTGACTCACTTTAACAACTGCGGTGATTCACTTTACACAAGTGGCAAGAAGAATTGTAAAGTGGGGGCAAAACTCACTCGATACTTGTTTCACTTAGCAACAGAAGTTTTGGGCTTAATTGTGGTCGTAAGCCGAAGACTAGCTGTCTGTGTGTGTGTGTCGATATATATATATATATATATATATATATATATATAGATAGATAGATAGATAGATAGATAGACAGACAGACAGACACACACACACACACACACACACACACACACAAAATCTTGAGTTCTGGAGCTGCAGAGGAAGGCAATACAGGTGGTCCTTGACTTACAACCATTCCTTTAGTGACCGAAGTGACAACGGCACTGAAAAAAGGGACTTATGATTGGTCCTCACACTTACGTCCATTGTAGCATTTCCCGTGGTCACGTGATCGGGGCACTTACTAACTGGCATGTATTTATGATGGCTGCACCGTCCCTGGGACCTTTGGCGACCTTCCCAGCTGCCTTTTGACAAGCAAAGTCCACGGGGAAAGTCAGATTCACTTAACGATGGGAGCGATTCGCTTAACTGTGGCAAAAACGGTTGTAAAATGGGGCATGACTCACTTAACAATGGCTTCACTCAGCAAATGTTGGGCTTGATTTTGGTGGTAAGCTGAGGACTAAGATCATAGATCTATAGATCTGCGTAGATCTACTAGTTGTAGATCTATAAATCTACTCGTTGGGTAGGGGTGCCTGTAAGGCAGGGGTGGGCAACTATGGCCCTTTTATGAATTATGGACTTCAACTCCCAGAATTCCTGAGCAAGCCATGCTTGCTCAGGAATTCTGGGAGTTGAAGTCCATAATTCATAAAAGGGCCATAGTTGCCCACCCCTGCTGTAAGGGAATCGGAAAAATTAATGGTGGCTGCAACTATACAATCCAAACCTTGGCCCTTTTATGCATGTAACAAGGGGGGGGGCTCTGCTTGTACAGGTAGTCCTCAATCTATGACCATAATTGAGCCCAGAATTACAGGTAGTCCTCGACTTAATAACAGTTCATTTAGTGACCGTTCAAAGTTACAACAGCACTTAAAAAAGTGACTTATGATCGTTCTTCGCAGTTACAACCTTTGCCATATCCCCATGATCATCTGATCAAAATTTGGATGCTTGACAATTGACTCATACTTATAACGGTTGCGGAGTCCCGGGATCACGTGATCTACTTTTGCGACCTCCTGACAAAATTTTGGGCTCGGTTGTGGTCATAAGTGGAAGGACAGCCTGTATGTACTGTCGTAAGTAGTTGCGGTCATCAGGCAAGACATCGCCCAATCAGATTCGAAGTTATGAACAGTATTTATGGTGCTCATTGAGCACAGCAGTTGTTAAGCGAATCCAGCGGCCATTAAGTGAATATGGCAGTCATTAAGTGAAACCCTTTTTCCCAACGAGAAAAGTCTTGCCAGAAACGAGAAGTAAATCCAACACCAACAATAGAATAGAATAGAATAGAATAGAATAGAATAGAATAGAATAGAATAGAATAGAATAGAATAGAATAGAACAAAATTCTAGAATAGAATAGAATAGAACAGAATAGAATAGTTGGAAGGGACCTTGGAGGTCTTCTAGTCTAACCCCCTGCTTAGGCAGGAAATCCTATACCATTTCAGACAAAGGATTATCCAATCTCTTCTTAAAAACCTTCATACCTGGAGCATTTACAACTTCTGGAGGCAAGTACTGATTAATTGTTCTGTCAGGAAAATCCTCCTTAGTTCTAAGTTGCTTCTTTCCAGGGGTGGGATTCAAATTTTTTAACAACCGGTTCTGTGGGCGTGGCTTAGGTGGTGGGCGTGGCTTGGTGGTCATGTTATTGGCTGGGTGTGGCCAACTCAACATCACTCACATCGAGGCACGCATCTCCTCGCCTGGCCTCTCATGACTGTGGGGGTGCTGCAACAGTCGTAAGTGTGAAAAATGGTCATAAGTCACTTTTTTCAGTGCCATTGTAACTTTGAATGGTCCCTCCACACAAGCAAAGTGCCAGCAAATGAGGGGGGAAACTCCAGAGAAGTTCCAGAGACAGGAAGTCTAGTCCTGCCAAGAATGTAATAAGGGTCAAAGGAGAGGCAGTTTCTGTAAGCAACACCAGAATGCTTCCTTCCTGCCTTCCTTACAGGATTAGGCCAGTAATTTCTTCTAACAACCGGTTCTCCGAACTGCTTAGAATGTTAACAACCGGTTCTAGCAAATAGGTGCAAACTGGTAGAATCCCACCCCTGCTTCTCTCCTTGATGAGTTTCCACCTGTTGCTTCTTGTCCTGCCTTTGGGTTCTTTGGAGAACAGCTTGACCCCCTCTTCTTAATTATAATAATAATAATACTCAAGCTGCAATAGCCATAAAAGTGAGCTGGTTGCCAAGCCCCCAAAATGCCATCCCATGATCATGTGTGTGGCTGGGGCCACCGTAATTTTGAAAATGAGTTGGCTGTAAGCTCTGGGAGATCTGTTGTAATTTCGAATGGTCTTTAAAGTTAAGCGACTGGTCATAAAGTCAAAGGCTACCTGTACAATTGTGACTGCCATCTTGTCCTTTTAAAGCAAGCCTTACTTTCCTTTGGCAGCCAATTCCCAACTTTGTGAAGGAGCAAGGACATCGTTCCAAGGGTCAATGACGTTGTGTGCCCTGGTCATTTTCACAAAAACATCACAAATGCATAACTTCTACCCCTCCTTCCAAACTTTGGGACACCTATGGGCAATAATTATTATTCTTTGTGTGTGTTGTGTTGGGAAGTGTGCAAGCATCTGCCCCTTTGTATTATTTTAAACAGAATAATAACTCTATCATAGGATTTTAATATGTTTTATTCTGATGTTTTATTTATTACTTTGTATTCCGCCTTTTATATGTATATTACAAATATATATATTATATTTTAATATATATATTTACAAATAGCTCCAGGCACTGAACATACTCATTACAGGTAGTCCTCAACTTATGACCACGATGGAACCCAAAATTTATGTCGCTAAGTGAGACATTTATCCCATTTTAGAATTCCTTGCCACAGTTGTTAAGTGAATCATTGCAGTTGTTAAATTAGTAATCTGGTTGTTAAATGAATCTGGCTTCCCCATTGTCAGAAAGTCAGAAAAGTTGATCGTACGACCCCGGGACACTGCAGCCGTCATAAATAAGAACCAGTTGTCAAGCATCTGAATGTAAATCACGTGACCATGGGGATGCTGCAACGGTCATAAGTCTGAAAAATGGTCATCAGTAACTTTGGACGATCACTTGGTGAACCGTTGTAAGTCATGAACTATCTGTATACCTTCCTCCTCCTATTTTCCCCACAACAACCACTGTCTGAGGTGAGTTGGGCTGAGTGAGTGATTGGCCCCAAAGTCACCCAGTTGGCTTTCATGCCTAAAGTGGGATTAGAACTCAGCATCTCCTGGCAATTGGCCCAAAGTCAGCCAGTCAGTTTTCATGCCTAAAGTGGGATTAGAACTCAGCATCTCCTGGTGATTGGTCCAAAGTCAGCCAGTCAGTTTTCATGCCTAAAGTGGGATTAGAACTCAGCATTTCCTGGCAATTGGCCCAAAGTCAGCCAATAGGTTTTCATGCCTAAAGTGGGATTAGAACTCAGCATCTCCTAGTGATTGGCCCAAAGTCAGCCAGCCACTTTTCATGTCTAAGGCAGGATTAGAACTCAGTATCTCCTGGTGATTGGCCCAAAATCAGCCAATAGGTTTTCATGCCTAAAGTGGGATTAGAACTCAGCATCTCCTGGTGATTGGCCCAAAGTCAGCCAGTCGTTTTTCACCCCTAAAACGGGATTAGAACTCAGTATCTCCTGGTGATTGGCCCAGTCAGCCATGTCTAAGGCAGGATTAGAACATGTAAGATGT